TTACAGGCGTGAACCACTGCACCAGCCATTTTCTTTCTTAAAAAGTTATTATTGGCCATGTGTGATGGCTCAGGCCTGTAATCCCAGCACTTTGGGGGACCAAGGCGGGTGGATTATGAGGTCAGGAGATCGAGACCATCCTGGCTAACACTGTGAAACCCCGTCTCTACTAAAAATACAAAAAACTAGCTGGGCGAGGTGGCGGGCGCCTGTAGTCCTGGCTACTCGAGAGGCTGAGGCAGGAGAATGGCGTGAACCCGGGAGGCGGAGCTTGAGGTTAGCCGAGATGGCGCCACTGTGCTTCAGCCTGGGCAACAGCGAGACTCCGTCTCAAGAGAAAAAATAAATTTAGGCCGGGCACAGTGGCTCACGCCTGTAATCCCAGCACTTTGGGAGGCCGAGATGGGGCGGATCACGAGGTCGGGAGATCGAGATCACCCTGGCCAACACGGTGAAACCCTGCTCTACTGAAAATACAAAAATTAGCCGGGCGAGGTGGCGGGCGCCTGTAGTCCCAGCTACTCGGGAGGCTGAGGCAGGAGAATGACGTGCACCCGGGAGGCGGAGCTTGCAGTGAGTGGAGATCGCACCACTGCACTCCAGCCTGGGCGACAGAGCAAGACTCCGTCTCAAAAAAAAAAAAAAAAAAAAAAAAAAAAAGAAAAAAAAAATTTATTGTCATTTCTTTATTTCAATAGCTTTTGGGGTACAAGTGGTTTTTGGTTACACGGATGAATTATATAGTGGTGAATTCTAATATTTTAGTGTACCTGCCACCCAAGAAGTGTGCATTATATCTAATGTATAGTTCTTTATTCCTGGCCCCCTCTCATCCTCCCCCCTTCTGAATCTCTAAAGTCCATTATATCACTCTGTATGCCTTTGCATAACTCATAGCTATAGCTTAGCTCCCCCTTAAAAGTGAGAACATACAGTTTTTGGTTTTCCACTCCTGTGTTACTTTGCTTAGAATAATGGTCTCTAGCTCCGCCCCAGTTGCTGCAAAAGACATTATTTCATTCCTTTTAATGGCTGAGTAGTATCCCATAGTGGGTAAATACCGTATCTTCTTTACCCTTTCATTAGTTGATGGGCACTTAGGTTGGCTTCACACCTTTGCAATTGTGAATTGTGCTGCTGTAAACATACGTGTGCAAGTGTGTTTTTCATAAAATGACCTCTGTTCCTTTGGTTAGATACTCAGTACTAGGATTACTGTGTCAAATGGTAGACCTACTTTTAGCTCTTTAAGGAATCTCCTTACTCTTTTCCATAGAGATTGTACTAATTTACATTCTCACTAGCATTGTGTAAGCATTCCCTTTTCCCCACATTTACACACTATCTATTGTTTTTCTACTTTTTTCTTTTTTCTTTTTTTTTTTCTTTTGAGACAGAGTTTTGCTCTGTTGCCAGGCTGGAGTGCAGTGGCGCGATCTCAGCTCACTGAAACATCTGCCCCCTGGGTTCAAGTGATTCCCTTGCCTCAGCCTCCCAAGTAGCTGCGACTACAAGCACGCGCCACCATGTCCGGCTAATTTTTTGTATTTTAGTAGGAATGGGGTTTCACCATGTTGGCCAGGATGGTCTCCATCTCCTGACCTCATGGTCCACCTGCCTCAGCCTCCCAAAGTGCTGGGACTACAGGTGTGAGCCACCACACCCGCCTGTTTTCTGACTTTTTAATAATGGACATTCTTGCAGGAGGAAGGTGGTGTCTCATTGTGGTTTTGATTTGCATTTCCCTGATGATTAGCGATGTTGAGCATTTTTTTCATGTCTGTTGGCCATTTGTATATCTTTTTTAAAGTAAATGTCTGTTCATGTCCTTTGCCCACTTGTCAATGGGATTATTTATTTTTTTCTTGGTGATTTGTTCGAGTTCCTTTTAGATTCTGGGTACTAGTTCTTTATCGGATGTGTAGTTTGCAAATATATTCTCCAATTCTGTGGGTTGTCTGTTTACTCTGTTTATTATTTCTCTTGCTGTGCAGAAGCTTTTTAGTTTAATTACTTACATCCCATTTATATATTTTTGTTTTTGTTGCATTTATTTTTGGGGTCATATACCAGTTAAACTCTGCCATTTTGTCTCTTAGTGTATATACTTGAGCCTACTTACCCAGCTTCTGAGATCTTATCTGGAAGCTGCTGATAATCAGTTTCAGGTGTTAGAATTCTATCTATTGGGAGTCTACCTTTCCCTGGTGCTGGCTGCCACCAGTTATTATTTCAGAGAGACAATTTGACAACCCCCTGACCATCAGCTGATGGTCGCCTGATAATTCTTGGTTGAGGGTTGGGCGAATGGGGACATAGATGGGTGTGGGTAGGGTTGGGGAACCCTCTCGTCACTGCTCATGCTTGCCTAGCTACCCATTCTAGCACTTGGAAGCCTAACTCACTCAGGTTACTGAAGGGTACCTATGATTTCATGTACACACTGAGAAAGGTTAAGATAAACGTAGTCACCAAAATTTTACTGTTGGTACCTCTAATTACGGTAATTTAGTTATTCTCATTATTTTTTTCCAAAGTAGTTGTGCGAAACCAGAGAATACACTCGGTAAGCTCCCTGGCAGTAAGGCATTCTCAACCTTAATGTATTTGATTCCTTACTGAGCTGCAAATACCAACCTAACTAAGGAAATAATGCTGAATTTGTCTAAATGCTTCACTTTCATAAGAAATTGAATGAATAAACTTTAGAATAAAATCTACAATTAATATCTGATGTATCCACATAGTAACCTTTGTGTTATAGAGTGTTATAGAGTCACTCTAACTATATTTTAATCCCTAGCACCAGAGGTTGTTGGGTTACTATTCATAAGTCCTCTTGTTTAATTCCTGGGAATTGTATGCTACCATAGCCAATGTCCTTGAACATCATATGCACTCATTAAATTGTGTTAACACGGGCTGGGTGCGGTGGTTCATGCCTGTAATCCCAGCACTTTGGAAGGCCGAGGCGGGTGGATCACCTGAGGTCGGGCGTTCAAGACCAGCCTGACCAACATGGAGAAACCCCATCTCTACTAAAAATACAGAATTAGCCAGGCATGGTGGCGCATGCCTGTAATCCCAACTACTCGGGGGGCTGAGGCAGGAGAATAGCTTGAACCCGGGAGGCGGAGGTTGCAGTGAGCTGAGATCGCGCCATTGCACTCCAGCCTGGGCAAAAAGAGTGAAACTTCGTCTCAAAAAAAAAAAAAAAATGTTGTTAACACTAGAAAGAGAGATGGGGGAGTTGAAATAAATTATAATGTTAAATGACAAACACATATATGTAATATTTATAAACCTAAATATAATGTTGATACTATAAATTATGGCATATTATAAATTACATATTATGTTATATATATTTATATTATATATAGACGGGATATGCAATAAAACTGTAGACTATTGTGGGAAATTTTTCAAATAAGTTTGAGAGATTATAATTTAATTATACCTTATTCAATTTGAAATACTGGGTTTGAGTCCACTTTGAAAGAAGGACCAATAATTGAACATCACAAATATAAATCTATATATTCACCTATTTATTTCAATATGTAATTCATGACATAAAATGTATTATAAATATATTTGTCTGCCTCTATACACTCATGACCACTACCACTTACCACCACCAATGAAAGCCTCTCCAATTTGGTAATCTAAGACACACTTCATATAGGGAAATTTTAACATAGAAAGGTAAGTCAATGAGTCAAATTTCCACTTAGATTGAAATGCTTACTTTTCCTATTTTTTTAAAAGTACAGGTTGAGTGCCTTTAGAAATGGCATAACGCAGCATGATGGCAGTTTATCTGAATTAATGCTACTTCCATAGGTTCCTAACTCAAAGTCAGGGAAAAGCAGATATTCTGTGTGGGGAAAAGAAAGAGAGATCAGACTGTTACTGTGTCTATATAGAAAGAAGTAGACAAAAGAGACTCCATTTTGTTCCGTATTTGAGATGCTGTTAATCTGTGACCCCACCCCCAACCCTGTCCTTGCAAGAGACATGTGCTGTGGTGACTCAAGGTTTAACAGATTTAGGACTGTGCAGGGTGTGCTTTGTTAAACAAGTGCCTGAAGGCAGCATGCTTGTTAAAAGTCATTACCATTCTCTTAATATCAGGTACCCAGGGTCATATACACTGCGGAAGGTCACCGGGACCTCTGCCTAGGAAAGCTAGGTATTGTCCAAGGTTTCTCCCCATGTGATAGTCTGAAATATGGCCTCGTGGGAAGGGAAAGACCTGATCGCCCCCCAGCCTGACACTCGTGAAAGGTCTGTGCTGAGGAGGATTAGTATAAGAGGAAAGAAGGCCTCTGGGCAGTTGAGATAGAGAAAAGCATCTGTCTCCTGCCTGTCCCTGGGCAATGGAACGTCTCGGTGTAAAACCCGATTGTATGTTCTATTTACTGAGCTAGGAGAAAACCGCCTTAGGGCTGAAGGTGGGGCGTGCTAGTGGCAATGCTGCTCTTTATGCACTAAAAAGGTTTATGGAGATGTTTGCATATGCATATCAAGGCACAGCACTTTTCCTTAAACTTATTCATGTCACAGAGATCTTTATTCATATGTCTTTCTGCTGACCTTCTCCCTACTATGATCCCATTGTCCTGCCACTTCCCCTTTTCCCAGATGGTAAAGATAATGATCAATAAATACTGAGGGAACTCAGAGACCGGTGCCGGCGTGGGTCCTCTGTATGCTGAGCGCCGGTCTCCTGGGCCCACTTTTTCTTTCTCTATACTTTTTTTTTTTTTTTTCTTTTTTTTTTTCAGTTTTTTCTTTTCCCTTAGGGGGAATTGCCCCCGGTTTTGGGGGGGCAGGCCACCCCTTCATTCTATGAGAATCTGACTCAAAGCAAAGCATTTCATCTCCTGTCCAACATTGCAGCTGCTATCAAAAAAAGTGTATCATACACATAAACCTCTGCCAGAAATGTCCAATTTATTAAACAAAGGAAATAATTCCTATACAGCAAATAGTTTCCAGACGTCTGTGGTCTTTTAACTGAAGACACGATTAGTAGAACACAAGTTGTTTTGCAATACCCTGCATAAAAACACGATTGAGGTTTGCTGAAAGCCACTTAAACAGAATAAAGGGCATATACATTTAACAGAAGCTCACTGCTGCTAACACACAATGAAACTCTCATGGATACAAAGTGGTTTTATATTTTTAAATAGCCTCTTAGAACCAGCAAGCACAACAAACAATGGACTTTAAAAAATATTTTGACTGAGTCAGGAGCAGGATTTTCTTTGTTTTTAAAACAGCATCCTATCATTTCCGAAATCTACTGCAAAAAGGAATTGCTTAACACGAGTACTTACAATTACTAATTTGCTTAACAGGGGTACTTACAATTACTAATTTTTTTTCTTTCTTTCTTTCTTTTTTTTAATTTGAGACGGAGTCTTGTCCTGTCGCCTACGCTGGAGTGCAGTGGCGCAGTCTCGGCTCACTGCAACCTCCCCCTCCTGGGTTCAAGTGATTCTCCTGCCTCAGCCTCCTGAAGAGCTGGGATTACAGGCATGTGCCACCACGCCCAGCCGAGTTTTGTATTTTTAGTAGAGACAGGGTTTCATCATGTTGGTCAGGCTGGTGTCGAACTCCTGACCTCGTGATCTGCCCACCTCGGCCTCCCAAAGTGCTGGGATTACGGGTGTGAACCACCACGCCCGGCCCAATTACTGATTTTCTAATGTTAAGAATAATAACTTTATTATTAGCTGTTTACAATTTACTGAGGTTCAAACTACTGTTTTCTCCTTTGTTCTTAAACCTGTGCCACTGAGATATAGGTCCCAAAATGATTTTTTTATGCTTTAAAATAAATATCTATAGTAAAAACATTTCATTTTAAAAGATACCATATTTTTATTACGGAACCTTAGTACTGTATATAAAACAATCTTTTGACAATGTATATGTCCTGGCAACAAACATCAGATACACAGACCATATATTCACACTGGAAATGAAAAAGGCAGTGTTAAATTATACAGGAAATATCTAGAACATAAAACAATAACTATAGAGTTACATCGTCCTCTAAAGGGGCAAGTAATTCAGTGGCTCTCTCTTTAAAACCTCTACTGCATTCCTCTTGCCATATGTATTGGATCCCACGTTGGTAGATGAGAGAATGGTACCAAAGTTGTTGCTGGAACGAACTAAAAAATTTGCCAGGCGCTGCGTTGCACACGTGGCAGTGTTGCATTTCCGCTTTTCCACCTGATGACTGGTGACATGTAACAAATGTGAAAAGTTAGAGCCTTACTATTTTAGTTGGATCCAGCCACGTGACGTCAAATATCTCATATTGATGAAAACTAAAGAAACAGTTTTCACAAAAGTAACTCAGGTTTGCAAACACCTAGATGACTGAGTTGTTTTTTTTGTTTGTTTGTTTGTTTTTGTTTTTGTTTTTGTTTTTGTTTGAGACAGAGTCTTGCTCTGTCGCCCAGGCTGGAGTGCAGTGGCGCGATCTCGGCTCACTGCAAGCTCTGCCTCCCCGGTTCACCCCATTCTCCTGCCTCAGCCTCCCGAATAGCCGGGACTACAGATGCCTGCCACCACACCTGGCTAATTTTTTGTATTTTTAATAGAGATGGAGTTTCACCGTGTTAGCCAGGATGGTCTCGATCTCCTGACCTCGTGATCCGCCTGCCTCGGCCTCCCAAAGTGCTGGGATTACAGGTGTGAGCCACTGCGCCCGGCCTAAATTGCTTTTCTAAAAAAGACTTTTCATCTAAATATACTATTCAGCATATATAAGATTCTATCTAAAACAATCTTTAGAATGGAAAAAGATGTCTAAAATGGTTAATAAAAGGCATTACCTCCCCGGTTTCAGGCATTTTTTTCTCATTGACTACCTGGACAGGTAACATACCAGCTAGTAACAAACATTAAAGTTGTTGACCACTTACAGGCACATACACACATGGAAATTCCTGACTTTAAGAGAGTTTAAACAGAGATGACAATAAGCCAAAGTATAACTCTTAAATTGCCTCTCTTTTAAATTGTCGCTCCAGAGTTTTAAAAATGGCTTTAAAATGCTTCCCTGCTCTCAGCTCTTAACATTCATCTGTGGAAGTCTGTGAGTTCCTGCAGGGAGATTCTATTGATTACATCTTGGAATCTATGTAATTACATTTTTAACTATCCTTTGATTACCTGCCAGGCAGATATTTACAAGGGAGTGTAAAAAAGTTGGTGGGAAAGTATGTGATCCTTTTATCCTATTTCATACATTTACAAATTGAAAAAATCTGTAATGAGATCATTAAATTTTATGAGGAAAATTACACTGAATAATATTAGTTTTATGTTTTAAAAGAATTTAAAATTTGACACATTTTCCACATATATTTTTCTAACTTTCTGTGAGATACGTAGAATAGTACATGATTTAACATCTCAGCATGATAAATCATACACCCTTTAACAAATGTTCAAACATACTCATTTCAGGCAACACATTAAAAAGCAATTTGAAGACTGTTTTACAAGATTTCTAATAATTCAAAGTTAAAGATTGTTAGACTAACACCAAAATAATTTAATAATAAGTAATATTATATTACATATTACCCTATTTCTAAGAGAAGTTTCTCTCATAATAAACAAACAAGCATCTATAAAATCATAATGGACTGGGTTCTGTGGCTCACTCTTATAATCCCAGAACTTTGGAAGACTGAGGCAGGAGGAAGGCTTAAGCCCAGGAGTTTGACACCAGCCTGCGCAACATAGGGAGACCCTTTCCCTATAAAATAAAGATAAAACAATTAGCTGTGTATGGTGGCAAGTGCCTGTGGTCCCAACTACTTGGGAGACTGAGGTGGGAGGATCACCTGAGCCCAGAAGGTCAAGGCTACAGTGAGCCATGATTGTACCACTGTACTCCAGCAGCCTGGGTGACACACAGAGAGATCCTGTCTCAAAATAAAATTTAGAAAAAGAGGGTAAATGTGCTGAGTAAATTTCCATATCTATTGAAAGAAAGTATCAAGATATAAACAGATATAGTAGGAAATACTAGTGATTTTCCTATCATCATTCAGTTATTCTGCTTATCAGAAACTTCATGTCATTTTAAAAGTTATTTTTATCCAATAAAAATCAAATAGAAAATTAGAGTCAGTTCTGAGAAGAACACCCTGTAAACTAAGTAAGTCTTGAAATGACAAAAAACATGATTCTTGCTATTTATTATACATAGGTGCTGTAGAAATCTTTGCATACTGCTATGGGCTTCCAAGAAAAACAATCTCAAAGGAAAACAAAGACAAGATGATGATCATTCTAATGGGAAGAGTTCTAATATGACAATGCACACTCTTTACAAAGGTAAACTTAATTCTTCTTGGTGTTAAAGAGTGTGTAAGTTCAGTCCCATAAGACTGTATGGAACAAAACTGATTTAGGCACAAACAAATCCTCACTATATTATTTATGACTTATGCACAGATTTAAACTTAGTAATCCTTTAAATTAATGGAGAATTACAGTATTAAAGTTTCAGTTTGAAAATTGTAACTACTCTTAAAAGTTTTACGTGACATAATTTTTAGACTTCCTTAATTACCATTTAAATGTCAGGAAACCTTTCATACAAAGACTTCCCAGGAAATCCTGACGTCCATGCTCCCTATTGAAAGTAATTTTAAAAAGTATTAAGTTTATAGCAGCTTAGAAGTAATATGTATGAAGATTAACTTTTTATAAATCTGTTTCACTCACAGAATAGCTAGCTAACAATATAGAATAAATCCCCCAACAGCAAATAACTTTTTAACTAGTTCTTTTATGTTTCATTTCTTAAAAACATTAATTTGCTCCTGATTATTTCTATACATTTCCATTTCCACAAGATGTAAAAGTTTTGAATATTTCCAGAGACATTTGAGGAAAATAAAAATCTAAGTAAATATACAAAAAGAATTACACTTGGTACAAAAATATATGCTTTACTTAAGTTCCTCTGGTTTGTTTCAGTATCAGGTTAATATAGGATAAATTACTACCTTTTGATTTTTTTTCTGCTTCATGTTCTGGCTTTGCCCCTCTAAGTTCCAAGACCATATTTCTCTTGGAAATATGCTGGAAACTAAATATGTAACTGGAATTATCCATTCTTGTCTGTCAGAAGTTCCATCAAAGATATTTATTTGCCACTGGTGTTATTCTTTAAAGAACACAGAATTCAAGCAACAATGGAATAACTGAAGGTACTGTTCTTAAGCATGATATAGTCAGAAATTTAAGGCTGTTAGTCATTTGACAGTATTTAATTCTAATTTTCCCACACTTTACAGAAGAAATAGGATCTTAAAGTTACCAACCTTTCAATGGGTATAGCTTTCAGATGGTTTAATGCAAGAGAGAGCACGATGAGAAATACTTGCAGCTTCAGAATGCACATTGCTTCTCAAATTTTCTGCAAAGAATAATCCAGCACTGAAATCAAGAGATTTCTTACAGTTCTAATTGATGTAATTTTAAATTAGAGCCTAGTTTTTAAAAGAAACATCTTTTTAAAACATAATTTACAAGGATCAAAATTTTTATTGATTTAGTCCCTAATACTGTCTACTTTTCAAGTAATTTTGAGATTTTTACTTTCCCAATTTCCTTATCTAAACAATCTGAACATTTATATTGTAATATGTTCTCCCTTTAGCCTTCTTTGAAATAAACCATGAATTTAACACCAAGTGTACATTTTTCTAAATAAATAAAACTTTCCCAGAAATAGGAAATTCTTTACCTTTTAATGTTTCAACGTCAGCAATATCAGCAAATGCCTTTGACAGAAAGAAAGCTTCAAGAAAAGAGCCCAAGCTTGTATCCACTGGAATATTTACCCCCTCATTTGCTAACTAGTAATCTAGCTCTTATATACCCCTCACACCTTTCTCAGCTCTGACATCAGGCAGCTCAGGGAGCCTTGTCATTAATTTCCATCCCTATAGATAGAAAGTACCTCACAGACAGCAGAAGCAGATGGGTCGTTATTACATTAACTCATCAGTAAATATTAACGTAGCAAATACAGAGTGTCCTTGTGCAGTTAATGGTGTGTCATACACAGCCGAAGTTTGAATTTGCCATCTTTGTAAGACACAAGTGAATTTTCAAGAATTAAGTGTATCTTATGGTAAGGAACTGATAGAAGGTGGTAAGGATAACAACAAATGTGCATATATGCAAATAAAGAAATCACAGACTTTTGGTATATCTAAACCCAAGTGACCTCAATGGCTGAATCCTATGAAGCTTCAGAAATAAATGGAGATATTAGGGGAAGGTGTATAAAAAGGGCATAAAAGAGAAATCAAAAGTCATTTACAATGAGGTGAGGGGAGATTTAAAAGCATAAGAGTAATGGAAGACCTACTCCGTGGTAGGGATTATTCTAGGTACCAGAGATATGACAGGGAACAAAACAAGATTAGAATGAACAACTGCTACATAACCAAATGAATAAAAAAAATTCATTTGTTGGCACTTACATAGAGATCCATAAGTATATGTAGTCAAGTAGTTTTTGGATGACTTTTTCCATTCATTCTTACACAGAAATTTGCAATTATTTTGAAAGAACAGATTTGTTTCCCTGTAGCTTCATGAGAACATTATGAATGGCTTGACTCAGTACTTTGTACTTTGTCTTTTAAAATGACTTAGTTTTTAAATCTTTCTCCAAATTGCTCTTTTTTTTTTTGTATTTCTTTCTCTCTTTCTTTTTTTTTTGAGACAGAGGTTCCCTCTTTGTTGCCCAGGCTGGAGTGCAAAGGTACGATCTCAGCTCACCATAACCTCCGTCTCCCGGGTTCAAGTCATTCTCCTGCCTCAGCCTACAGAGTAGCTGGGATTACAGGCATGCTCCACCATGCCCGGCTAATTTTGTATTTTTAGTGGAGACGGGGTTTCTCCATGTTGGTCAGGCTGGTCTCGAACTCCCGACCTCAGGTGATCTACCCACTTCGGCCTCCCAAAGTGCTGGGATTACAGGCGTGAGCCACTGCACGCGGCCTCTTTTTTTTGTATTTCTAAATTATATTTGTTATCTTAGTTATTAATATAGCAACTTAATGTCATGTAAAGCAAATAAATTTCAATTGTCAGTGAAAATGTGCATGCCTGTGTAATCTTAAAAAAATTAAAGTTCTCAAACTAGAAACATTAGTTCATTGATTTCACATACTTATTGGAAGTGTAGTAACATAGTTTGAAGGTGTTTGGTAGAGATTTCAGGAGGAAAGAAACAAACTTGTTTAGAATCCGTGTTCTAATTATTCAATGATTCCACAATTTTAATATTTTCTGTGAAATTTACTGATATTCCAAAATAAAAAAAAAAACAAACACAAAATAAAATCAAAAGATTTGGAATGATAATGCATTTCCGTAAGAAGATAGTGTACTTAATAAGGTGAATATGAGGTAGGAGGAAGGACTAGACTCCAGAGGCAGGGCTTGATCACCAGACCAAATTGAGAACTAGCTAAAACAGGGCCAATGGAAAGCACGCCCCCTAGTGTGCCATGTCAGTTTACCATTGCTGTAGTAACACCCAGGAGTTACTGCTTCTTTCCACCGCAATGACTGGATGACCCCAAAGTTACTACCACTTCCCTTGAAATTTCTGCCTAAACCACCCCTTAATCTGCATGCAGTTAAAAGTGGGTGCAAATATGACTGCAAAACCGCCCTAAGCTGCTACTCTCTGCATAAGGGGTAGCCCTGCCCTGAAGGGCTTATATTATCATTATTGTATATTATATATTATATTATCACAGAGTCATAAATGCCAGAACCGTAACATTGCCTCTTCAACAAAGCTGTTTTCTTCTACCTCTAACTTGCCCCTGAATTCTTTCATGAACAAAGCCAAGAACCCTTGAGGGCTAAGCCCCACTTTGGGGCTCACCTGTCCTGTGTTAAATACAGTGACGTAGAAAGCATTCGAGGGCCAGTGACACTGAAAAAGGTTCAGCATCAAACATCTAGTTAATGCTGAATCCTGGGCCAAAGCCTAGCTTTCTGACTCATGGTCTAGTGTTCATTTAGACAAAAATACTTGCCTATTACCTACATTGTTGTTTATTCTATTTTCATAACCTTTTTCTTTTCTCTAAGATGTTAAGGGTGCCAAACATAACATTCAAAATGGATCCTCTCTTACGCTAAGAGAGGGTACGTAGGCAAAATGTTCTATCTAAGGAAAGAACAGGAAGACCTGGTATTTTATAAGGACTACCATATATGTCAGGCACAGTCATAGAATTGATATGTAATATCTCACTTCATCTTTGCACCTCTACGGTGGTTATCATTTGCCCTAATTTATAAATAATGAAACTGAGATTCAAAGAATATAAGTGACTTGCTTAAGGTTACAGAGCTACTCAGGGGCAGAGTGAAAGACAAATTACCATCCGTCTGTTTCAGGATATTTCTTTCTTTGTTAAAAAGGATCTATATTTTCATATTCTAAATTGCTAATTGCTTTCTCTAAGTTGTATATCTTGTTATAACACCTTGAATGATTTTGTTAGAGCCAGATGTGACCTTATGCTGGTCTCGTATAATGTTTAGTAAAATCAACATCTATCCCAATCTCAAATAGCTTCAGAGTTTACATGCTCCCTACAGCACTAATGAAAGTGAAGGTGGTATGTGGATATTTAGATTATCTTTACAAGGGCATAAGCTCCTTTCTAAAGGACAAGCATCACTGTCACTTATCTTGGTATATCCCCTCTAGCCTTGCTAAGACAAAGTGTGAATAAGGTGCTGGCAGCTTTTGCATCACCTGGGAGCTTATTAGAAATGCAGAATCCCAGGCCACACCTTGGATCCACTCTACCAGAATCTGCATTTCAAAAATGATCTTTCCGCCGGGCGCGGTGGCTCACGCCTGTAATCCCAGCACTTTGGGCGGCCGAGGCGGGCGGATCACGAGGTCAGGAGATCGAGACCATCCTGCTAACACCGTGGGAACCCCGTCTCTACTAAAAATGCAAAAAATTAGCCGTGTGTTCTGGCAGGTGCCTGTAGTGCCAGCTACTCAGGAGGCTGAGGCAGGAGAATCGCTTGAACCCAGGAGGCAGAGCTTGCAGTGAGCCAAGGATCGCACCACTGCACTCCAGCCTGGGTGAAAGAGTAAGACTCCGTCTCAAAACAAACAAACAAACAAAAAAACCGAAACAAAAATGATCTTTCCTTAGCGATTGCGTGCACACTACAGTTGAGAAAAACTGTCCCGTAATACATTCCATTTATTTATGGATTCAGTAAGTATTTACTGAGGATCTACTCTGTGGTAGGAGTTATTCTAGGTACAAGAAATATGACAGTGAAAGAAACACATTCCTGTTCTCACGCAGCTTATAGTCTGTAAAAGAAACAGAGTAAGCAAGTGAACAGTAAATGTGCAATTACAAATAGTAAGCACTGCGGAGAAAAAAAAAATATGGCAGAGTTAGAAAAAAAAATAGTGACATTTATGCTGAATTGCAAAGCCTAAGAGCTAACGGAAGAGTGATGGGGAAGTATTCAAGAGCAGAAAAAGCATATGCCAGTTCTAGTGAATGAAGGCAAAAGCGGCATGATGCTGGAGATCCAAGCAGGAACCTGCAGGTGTAGGGCTCTGAAGGTTGTGTTAAGGATCTTGGATTTATTCAGATGACAATTTGAAGCTCCTGAAGAAGTCTAAGCAGGGGTATAAAATGTTCTGCTTTGCATCTTTAAAACATCAGTCTGGATGTGGAATAATATGTGATACCTCACTTCATCTTCACACCTCTACGGTGATTATCATCTGCTCTAATTTATAGATAGTGAAACTGAGATTCAAAGAATATAAATGACTCGCTTAAGGTGAAAGAGGTACTCAAGGGCAGAGTGAAAGACAAATTCTCCTCTGCCTGTCCCAGGATATTTGTGGAATGAATTAGAGGGTGGCAAGGGTAAAAACAGGAAATCTATTAGCAGACAATGTCAGTGAGATGATGAGGCATTAGACCAGGAGTTAGAGAAGTAAATGACTCCAAGTCATATTCATAATCATAACATGCTTTGACAATGACGGAAAGAAAGGGAACAAATGAGAAGAGATTGACGATAAACATGAATGTCAGGTTAGGATATAATTCATAATATGTATTAATGGGCTTCTTCCTATCAAATTTTAAAAGTAAAAGATGCTTTATCTATCATTTAAAAAATAATTTTTATGTTTTATCAAATTTGTATGTGTTCAAATGGTATTAGAAGACTACTAATAATCACAGCAGTCCCTTGCCTTAATCTGCCCACCCATAAATTTTGCTCTCCACAGGCACTCAATTTTAACTATTTTAGCTGTTTCTACATTTCAAAAATATTTACTTCTCTGGTCTCTCTTGATTTATTAAATTTACATTTTATATGTTGATATCCCATATTAGAGGACGAAAATTCAGCTCTCCTCACTTTTCTTCTCTACCACCATCCTAAAATAGTTTACTAGATTTTTTGAATTATATCAATATTAGATGTACATCTTTTTTCTACTTACATTTTAAAGTGTTTCTTGTGGGAACTTTCAAATGTATATAAAATTAGAACAATTATCAACAAATGATCTATCTCGCTCACTCTATATTCCTACCTACTTTCCTCCCACCTCCCACTGTATTATTTAAAACAAATCCTAGAGATCACATAATTTTAACTGTACATTTTTTAGTGTTATAAAAGATAAGGACATTTTATAGAACAGAGCTATAAAACCATTATCCCATCTACACATACAATTTACAGGAATTCCTTAATATAAATAAATAATTCATTCAGCATTCACATTTTCCAGTTGTTTACAAATAAAAATTTAACTGGTTTGTTGGATTCAGGATCTAAAGAAGATTGCATTTGGTTGCTCTTTGTGACTCTTTAATTTATAATTGTCTGTCCTTTATTCTTCTTATTGTTGATATTTAAAAAATGGGGGCATTTGTTGTGGTTAAAATTTCCACATCCTGATTTTTGCTGATGGCATATGTGGTGGTATCTCCATTTAACATGTTCCGGCCGTCGCGCCGGTGGGCTCAAGGCCTGTAATCCGGCCACAGCACTTTGGCGAGGGCGACCGACGGGTTCTGGATCAAGAGGTCGGAGACTCGAGACCCAGCCTGGCACACGGTGAAACCCGGCGTCCTCACACAAAAAATACAGAAAAACTAGGCGCGGCGCGAAGTGGCGCCGCGCTGTATCCCAGCTACTCAGGAGGCATAACAGGTGCGGAAAAATGAGGCGTGAACCTGGGAGGCCGACTTGCAGTGCGAGCGGAGATCCGGCCACTGCACTCCAGCCTGGGCGACATACAGCAAGACCTCCGTTCAAAAAACAAAAAAAAAAAAAAAAAAAAAACAAAAAAAAAGTTCCTTTCCTCCAATTTGCCATTTGTATTTCCTCTATACTTGGTGTTCGATCTAGAGGCTTGATATGATTCAGCTCAACATTATTTTGCGTAAAGATATGTCTCTATGTGATGGTTGGTTTCAATGTGTGCTCTATTGCGCATTATATCGAGGGCATATAGTATCTTTTTATGAGGCTAAGAATCATCACGTGAGCTCCTGACAAGCAGCAAGTCTGTTCAGTTCTG